CGTTTTTGTTCTTAACAAAGTTAAGAAAGCTGTGTTTTATTGTTAATCTGAAGATAAATTTGAAAGTGAACTTATTTCTGAACATTTCTGCACACTGACCCTATGGCACTGGGTAGAAGATTCTGTATGTTCTGTTGAGCTGGAACACACAGAGGAGAGTAGTTCTGGATTAATGTGACGTCCTTAGGGTCGCCTTGATTATGAATGTGTTGTCATGGAAGTGAGCGAGGTGTTACTATCGAATTGGCTGACATCATCTCTATCAACAGCTTGCTTTTTTACCAAAACTGAGTATTATTCCAGCTGTTTGAAAAACGATTACCCAATGCCCTTTAGATCTGCTGTCTCTATGAGAAATTCTTCTTGGAATCACAACACTGTGGAGTCAACCCACTAACTGTTTGCACTTTTTGTGAAGCACAAAAGACCCAATTATTGGCATATGACTGCAAACTGGATGTCATCTTTAATATGTGTTGTGTTGGAAGCAGACTGGCCAGAGACTGCAGCAGAAACCTCAAAACCCATCTCAGTCTTCTTTTGCATCTACCAGCCCAATTCATAAACTTTGGCATTTTCTAACAAAAGCAAACTGAAAATGTGTGCACACTACAAATGGATAAAGAAAGCAATGACCCGTGGATTTTGTTTTTCTTTGTACAGGTAAGACATATTTACAAGGAAAAATCACTCATTCTGATTCTAGATCCTTAAACTTTTAAATAAAAATCATGCAAATCTAAACCTCTTTGGGTTTTGTACTGTTAATCAGAGAAAAACAAATTTAAATGAGACCAATAATCAAGGACATGTTTTGTGAATAATCAACGCCAAAAATAATAGTAATAAAAATAATTGCAATCTTAATAGTTTAACTTCATGGCACTGCTATTGTCTTAAAGTTGAATAACTGCCATTACTTGCCTTGCAATCAAGTTCTGGTTGAGCAATAAAAGCTTCTTCTAAAGCAAAAACATGGATGATATTTTTTCATTGTTGTACTACACAATTTGGGAAGACTGATGTGCACAAAATGTCTCGTTGTCTTGACTGGACACAAACTACTATTACATGTGGTGTAATACAGTACAGCTAAACTCTATTAGATCACATGATTTGTTTAGGCTGTCCAAATCTCAGTGAAATTATTAAAAATGAACCATTCGCATT